GTGGAGACGGGTGGAATCAGGGAGGCCTTCCTGTAGGAGGTGGGCCTTGAGAGCTCTGCTGAAAGGAGTTCTAAGCAGCTTGATCCTCGAGGATTCAGTGAATTTTAGCACGCAGGGACCTTAGAGATGGCCTGGAAATGGAGGCCCAAAAGTCAGGCCTTGTCCAGGGCACTGTGCCCACGGACTCCCACACAGAGCTCCTTCCTCACCAGCTTGGGGACAGGACCAGCAGGAGCCCAGCTGCCGTCTGCTGAGTGCTTCCTGCGTGTCAGAAGCTGCTCCGTGCTTTCCTTTCCTTACCTTGTTTAGTTCTGAGTAGGCCCCACAGGGACATTTGACATACCAGGGAACAGACTGAGGGATCCAGTCACTTGGCCAGGGTGTCTCCCATGGCCACCAAGTGGAAGGGACAGCATGGGGGCTAGAGATGTCTGGTTCTGCGGGCCACACTCAGGACTGTGGTGCTCGGCGAGGCTCGGGGTGGCTTCTGTCCACAGTCCAGACTCGGACACTTTCACCGTCCCAGGTGTCTGAGCCCAGAGAGGAAGGCTCTGCCCACCTGGCCGTGCCTGGTGTGTACTTCACCTGTCCGCTCACTGGGGCCACCCTGAGGAAGGACCAGCGGGACGCCCGCATCAAGGAAGCCATTCTTTCGGTGAGTGGCGCCCCGTGTGCTCCTGCCCCAACCTGTAGCTTCCTGTGCCTGAGCCACCCCCCATCGGATTCTCGGGCTGCCTTCCAGTGAGAAAGGAACTTCAAGCCGAAGCCACCGTCAGTGGGAGCCCCGAGGCCCCAGGGACCAACGTGGTAAGAACAGCCACTGGTGGCACTGTCCCACGCTGAGGGGTGGGGACAGCTTGACTTCATCGTGGGGGAGGGCAGATGTGGCCTGGACCCTGGGGCTCCAGGGTGGTTAGGAAACCTTGCCCTGCAAGGTGGAGGCGGGTTGTGGTGGAACATGGTGTTGTCCGGACCTTCGGGGCTCGGCAGCTGAGGATGCTGGCTCAGGCCTGGAGAAGTGGGCCTCAGGTACATAAGCCCGTCGCTCCTTCCCCTTAACCCGTTAAGGTGG